TTATATTATCACAGTGTTTTTAATAATACAAAATACAAAAAATGTCAAATACTCCCTCCGTCCCATAATAAAGTATTCATTTTTCCATTTTAGTCCGTCTCATAACAAAGTATCAATTTCTTTTTTTTTTTTTTTTTTTTTTTAGTAATTGTACTATTTACCTAACATTACAAATACTCTTACAACTTACAATATATTACATAAATATCATTACATTTATATCACACATACTAATAAGGTTATTTTAGTTATTTATATTTTATTCCTACTATATTCAAATATAATACTAATATTTTTAAAACTGCGTGAAAAAACAAATGGATACTTATTTATGGGACGGAGGGAGTATGTGCTTAGCCAACCTTCAAATTTAGGGATGTGTTATTACACTTTTTTTTTTTTTCATTTATTATTATTAAAATTTAATAAAAATATACTCCATTTGTCCCGCGACAGATGATCTTTTTTTTTTTCGTCCCATTATAGATGATCCATTTCTATTTTTAGTAAATTTATTCATCTTAAAACATATTTAACAAAAATAAATCAATTTAATTAAATTTTTAACCTCTTATCCATGGGACCCACTCAAAATTCCTTTTATTTCTATTTCTCTCATCAATAAATAAATATTTTTATCTATATTTAAAATTTCTTATTTTTAATAAAATTAGTTTTAAGTTAATTATAAATAAATAAATCATTTTTCTTATTTATTTGTATTATATAAAATTTTATTCTCTACAAAATGATATCCATGTGGTATATATTTTATTGATATATAATGCTAAAAATATTTAAAATGCCAAAAACACTACTCATATAAAAATAATAAAATAATATCATAACTTATTATTTATAACTTACTAATATTCACTACCTAAAATACAGTGTCCTTAAGCAAAGGGGTCATCTTGACCGGAACTATTATATTTTTTACATTAAAATATTATTTAAACTAAAAATCAAATTCAAGCATTAAATAATAATAATAATAATATCGAGGAAAACACACTCAATATTTTTTATTTTATTTTTTAACTTTTATTATTTTATAAATAAAAATTTAAATAAAAATAAATATTACATTTATTTTAAAATTATAAATATATAATTTTACAACAAAATAAATAAAGAAATTGAATTTACACGTATAGGCACACACTTCAATTAAATCTTTAAATAAATAGAAAGAGAATTTTGAGAGTAATTATTATTATTATTATTATTATTAATATTATTGTTTTAGTTTTGATTTTTTAAATATAATATTTATTAAATGCAATATATATAATTAAGAAATATCAAAATATACAATATCCTATATATAAATTTTATTTTTATTTAAAATAACTATTGATATCCTATAAACGAGTATCTTAAAATAAAAATATAAAAAATAAAAAACTATTATTATGAAATGTCAAAAGCACCCCCAAAAAACCAATGTATTTCATAATTGGTATTATTCAGACACTATCAATTTAAAATTTTTAAAATTTTTTAAAATATCCTAATATGATTTTTATTTTTATATTATAATACTGTATATTTTTTCCTATTTTAATTTTATATCGTCTTATTTTTTTTCTTCAAAAATATTATAATAGTCGTGTTGATTGGAGGATTTTTAAACATTTCTATTATTCAATGAATTTTATTTTATTTTTTTAAAAAAAATTAAAATAAATATTTACTTTCTATATTATAATAAAAATTTAAAATTTAAAATATTACTTCAATAATAATTTATACAACATCAAATAATTATTTTAATTTAATTTTTTATTATTTAAAATTCAAATTTTCAATCAAACATAATACTCATTTCTCTAACAAAACAAGAAGCATCAATTTTTAGATAAAAATAAAATAAAATAAAATAAAATAAAAACACAATTTTTTATTCATTCATCCGCATAACATATTTATTTTTTCTATTTTTAGGTTTTGTCCATAGTACATAATTCGTCATTTTTTTTTGAAAAAATAATTATATATTTTAGTAACATTTCAAAGTTTATAATTTTTAATTTTTTTAATTTTAATTAATTTTTTTAGTAATTTTAATTTTAATTTATAATTATTTTTACTATATATTTCTTCATTACTTATTAATTATATTTTTTAAAATTTTGATTGTCTTTTAATCTTCTTTGTCATTTTCGATGATAAATAAAAAATAAAAAATTTCATATTTTCTAATAAAATATATATTTTTTTCTATGATGTTTAAAAGACAGTAAAAACTATTTGATTGATATTATATCATAAAATTTTGAAATATTTACATAATTTTCAATAATTAATACTCCCTAATCATTAAAATATACGTTCAACAATTTTTAATAAAAATAAGTACTGATTATCATATTTTGCCTTTTATTTACTTAAAAAAATAAATTAACAAAATAAAATTAATATAGATTTAGATAACTAGGATAATAATAAACTTTTTACTATTCCTGAAAAATTGAGTTTGAAAATAAGTTTGTAATATATATATATATATATTATTAAATTTTGTAAACTAAATAATGGTAATTTAAATTTGAATTTTAAATCAAACACAATTAAAATATAAAGTTTAGCACAATAAATTGTAGAGATCCAAATAAACAAATTTTGGGCCCAACCATTCAACCCAATTGTCTATTGAGCCCAACAATTCAAGCCCAATTAGTTGTTTGATTTTGTAGTACGTTGATTTTTTATTTTATTTAAATGAAAATTAAATTTTAAATACTCTATTGTCTCAGAAAAAGGTTGTTTTCTTTTTTATCCCAAAATATAATTTTTTTTTATTTGGTAATTGTATTATATAGCTAATATTATAAATATCATTACAATTTACAATATATTACACAAATCTTATTATCTTTATGTTACATAATACTAATAAGTATTTTAGATTTCTTTTATTAATTTTATACTACATCCAATATATTATTAATATTTAAAAGTCTACGTCCAAAAAACAAATGTTCATCTCTGTGCGGCAAATTAAATGAATATATATATATATCCCTCTGTCAGGCAAATTAATTCCGAACTTTCCTTTTTAGTCCATCTATCAAATTTTTTCATTACTAATTTTGGCAAAGTCAACAAATAACATTTAATTATTACCCTTCATGCAATACTTATTTACAAAAAATATAACTAACTTTATTACATTATCCCTATTCGTTTATTTACTTTTTAACTAAAATTCTAAAAATACCTTAAATTACTCGTCACATTTTCAATAAAATATTTATTTTTCTTAATTTCTGTGCCGGATTCAAATAACCTAATTTTAATGAATGGAGTATATTATTTAGGTGAGTTTTTCTTTAAATAATAAAATTATAGTGGATAAAATTGATTATTATGCTATGCACAAATTTAACAAATAACCAAAAAGATTCAAAGGTGGTGCGGCTGGGGCGGCGGAGAAGAGAGATTGCAGGCGAGGGAGGCAGTTCTGGATGCGAGCAGCGACGGAATCAATCTTAAAATTTAGGGGGGACAAAATATCAATTTATTTTTTTATTTTATTATTTAACATTGTCATTTTCGATTTCTCCCAATACAATCCAATAAACAAGAAGAATAATAAAAACAATTAAATTAAATTTTTAAAGAAATATTTTTAAAAAATTAATAAAATTCAATAATTTCTACTTAAAAAAATAAAATCTAAATGTATAAATCAGTGAAACTACAAAAATTTTATTATCTTTTACGCTAAAAAAATTCTATATTTTAGGGATTGGGGGTCAACTGCCCCTTAGCTCCTATGTAGTTCCGTCTCTTGGTGCGAGCCAAGGCGATGGGCGGTGGTTCGCGCTGGTGATTTGCGGCGGCCTTGGGTGGAGGAAGGAAAGGAGGGCTCTGGTGGCTGGAATCGTGGCCGTTGGGCTCTGGCCGGACGCTGGTTGGTGAACGGCGAGGCCTGGGCGCTGGCCAGAGCTGGCAAAAATTGAACCGACACGACAATTCGATACGAAATAATTGAGTTTGAGTCAAAGATTTCAACTCGATTATGTATATGGGTTGACACGAACCCGACACGATAATAAACGAGTCGGATTATAGTTGAGTAATTTAACCCGTTTAAAGTATTCAACCTGACACGAACCGATCCATTGCCAGCTCTAGCGGTGGCCGATGGTGGTGGGTGGGTAGTGATGATATACACGGCCGTAAATAACAGAACATGGCCGTATATTTTTTTTCAACTTGTTAACACCGGCATGTTTTAATGTACACGGCCGTATTTCGTCCAAATCAGTGTCCATATCACTTCCGTTAAACCCACATCATCAATTTAGATTTATTTTTAAATAGTGGGACTAAAATTGATTGAAATAATCTATATTAGGAACAAAATTGATGAATTTTGATTATATTACGACCAAAATTGATTTTTTTTTTCCCAAAAAGAACAATTGTAAATAGGGGTGAACTTTCGAATTTTCGGTTCGGTTTTTTGAAAAAATCAATTTAAATTGAACTGAAATAATCGAAATCCGAATTTCGAATTTCGAATTAAAAAATCCGAACCAAATCGAATAATCCAAAATTCTAAATATTTTTAATTATTTTTTAAAATTTATTTTATATCTTACAATTATTTATAATATTAAATATATATATAATAAATATAAATCAAATATATTAAAACATAATTAATAATTTTGAGTTTTTATTTATATTAAATCATAATATTCTTAATAAAATATTAAATATATATATAATAAAAATATATTAAAGTATTATATTTTGTATTAGTTCGGATTTTAAGTATATTCATTCGATCGTATCCCAAAAATTTGAAATTTGTCAAAAATTTAATTCGAACGAATTCGAAAATCTAAAAAAGTTAAAACTAATTTTAAATTTCAATTTGGTTCCAAATTCCAATCTAATTTTTGAAGTTACAATATTTTGCTCATCGATATATTAATATATATATATATATATAACCATGAACCATTAGGGTGGTGAGCTTTTTTACATAAATAAGAACATAAATAAAAGACAGATAGAGTTTGTGAAGACGCTGTAGTCTTCCATAGCCACACCACAGAGCAAGCATGGCAGCTATGGCGTCCCCAGGCCGAGCCGCACCCTCGTCTGCTGCTTCTCCATTCAGGCGCATCTCCATTGCACAACCGACCTTTATTCGCGCGCCCCACTTTTCTCCCACAATCCCGGTATTCAATCCCTTTCCGTTTGTTTATTTGTAATTAATCACTGTAACTTATTGTTTAATACATCCAATTTTATTTTGGAAGGAGCTACGTAATCGATATTCGATTTCTGGATTGTGTTTGGTAGTTTTGGGGGATTCTGAACGTTTTTGGTTGCGTTAATTTTTGTTTGGTGTTAGAAATGCGAGCTGACGCAGCCGATGAATGGGGCGCCGACGCCGAGTGTTCCTGTTCTCAACGATCAGATATTGCCGACGTTCCTACAATCGAAGCGGTTGGAGAATGCTGTGAACAAAAGTAGTAGTAATCAAATTAAGATATTCTCGGGCACAGCAAACCCTGCACTTTCTCAGGTGACTATTTTCCGTCCTCAGTTGTGTTTTCGAGTCTTAAATGGAATCTCAATTAGGTTTACCTCCGGATTCCTGTTCGTGTTTTTGTGTTCTTCCTATCTGCGGATGTATGTTTGTAAGTTATATTGTTTTCGGAAAACCTGTCTTGGATTTGAACCTTTTTTTTTTTTTCGTTTTTTTGGTGGAAATTAGTTGTTAGACTATGATTTTCTGTACAGAGTGTATCTATTGAAAAATGTGACAATAATTTGGGGATTTTTTTTTTCCTCCTCATTTTAGATTGAATATTGTGAAATTTTTGTTGAAAATATTAGTGAGCAAAGGTACCTTGTTAAGGAATTGAGCTCCGGATTTGAATGAATTAATGTTATGTTTATGAGTTAAACTGATGATGTTTATTTAGACATGTTCTGTTGTAGCAAATCCAAGTTGTATTATAGAGCATATTTTACTTGCTAAATCATGAGAATGAGGACAGTGATGTAGGGGAGCATTGAACTGGAAGAATCACCAAGAAATGTCTGGAAAGATAATAATCCAATTAACAAGTTTTTATTTTTCGATTTTCTTTCATATTGTGGTATGTAAATCCATTAACATGTTGATTGAGTGTGAGTATGGAGAACATAAATAAAAAGTTAAACCATTAGGATCAATGACTTTAACCATTGGTGCCATCATGTGTGCTATACAACATAAGAAAGTATGCCTTTAGTTTGTGTCATCATGGAAGATTTATGTCGGTGGAGTTTTATGTGTTCAATGGACTTCTTCAGATATACGATCTATGGGTTGAATAGTCACTTTAAATTGTATACGCTAAATGAGTGAAAATAGTGTTTCTTGAAAATTTTGTATGTAGCAAGAGTGTGCATATATTTGTACGGTATTGTTTTATTACGTGTAGGATCATATTTTATACGCGTCAAAAGGGCAGGAGAAAGGTCGACTATTCTCCTACAGGATGGGATAACAGTTGCATATAAATATTCTTGCTTAGAAATCCTACTTATATTTAGTGTATATTATTTAGGACTTCGGAGTGAAAAACTTCTCGAGGTGTTGAACAAACAGTGCTGTTCGTTTCACCCTGTTTCATGAACAGAAAACATGTGTATTTGCTTCTTCACAAAAATGAAATAGAAATCTAACGAAATTGTCTGAATTTAGTTAGAGAAATTTTACCTGACTAGGCTGAGCATGCTTATTTATATTATTACTTTTGAGATTTTTCGTACTATAGAATTTCACTCGTCCATTACATAATATGTTTCCTTGTATAACATAGGAAATTGCATGGTATATGGGCCTCAACCTAGGGAAAATTCAAATCAAACGGTTTGCTGATGGAGAGATTTATGTTCAATTGCAAGAGAGTGTTCGTGGCTGTGATGTGTACCTGGTTCAGCCTACCAGTCCTCCAGCCAATGAAAATCTTATGGAGCTTTTGGTGACAATAGATGCTTGCCGAAGGGCTTCAGCCAAGAATATAACTGCAGTAATCCCGTATTTTGGATATGCTAGAGCTGATAGAAAGGTATTTTCATCAACATGTATGCACATAATGACTTAGTTTTGAGTGAAATAATTTGAAACAAAGGAGATACTACAAAATATTCTAATCAATTTTCCATTTGTGATATTTTCTTTTTCCTAACACCAGACCCAAGGACGTGAATCCATTGCAGCCAAATTGGTAGCTAATATAATAACAGAATCAGGCGCAGATCGTGTTCTTGCTTGTGATCTCCACTCTGGGCAGTCTATGGGTTACTTTGATATTCCAGTCGACCACGTGCACTGTCAAGTACTTGTCGAAAGTTTCCCTTCTTTCTCGAGCTATGTATACATATACATATAAATGTTGCACTTGCTTAGTTGTATACATGCGTGCATAGATTTGATATTCATTTTTTTCTTTTTGCATATTCTATCAAAAGCCTGTCATCCTCGACTACCTTGCTAGCAAGAAGATAAGTTCAAGTGATTTAGTCGTTGTCTCCCCTGATGTTGGGGGAGTTGCAAGAGCTCGTGCTTTTGCGAAAAAGCTATCTGATGCACCTTTGGCCATTGTGGATAAACGGCGTCATGGCCACAATGTTGCCGAGGTAGTTTACTCTTCCCATCTTTATGAGATTCAGACGAGTCCAATATGATATGATATGCTCTAATATATTTAAACCCGTTTTTTCGTTACTGCCAACGGCCGTACAATAAATTATTTTTTTGTAAAGTTAAACTTCAGGTGTTTAGGCTGTGGCTTCTTTCGATTTTATGTATTTCAAAAATATTCTTTCCTTTGTTCCGTTGTAGCATTCGCCAAACTAATGAAGCCCTTTGTAATAATGAATTAAGAGAATGTAATTAGTTGTTCATCTCTTAAATATTTAATTTCAATTTGTAATATTAATATAGGATTTTGGTCCTATTTCAATTTTTACTCCTTGTAATCACATTAGCTCTAAATTAGAAATTCTCAACTAATGCTACAAAGATTTATGACAGAATTGTTAAATTTTCCTCTGCAAAACTGATGGATGGTACCCGATTTCTCGGTTATTTGACTTCTGTACTGTTTGCAGGTAATGAATTTGATTGGTGATGTAAAAGGAAAAGTTGCAGTTATGGTGGATGATATGATCGATACAGCAGGTAAGCATAGCTTGATCAGATTATAGAAAACGAAAATACATAAGTTACTATTTATCTTATTTCCATACTATAGGAGACCTATCACCTATGGAAGACTACATTTAAAAAGCAACACAAGAAGTGTCGATCAATATTCAAAGCCATTAAGCATCCACAACTACTTTTACTAAAGTTTTTCTTGATCTCCCTTTTGATGTTCAATGAAATGGCAAAATTAGTAATGAATTCTTCCTAGGTTTTTTAAAAATATTTCGATATATGGTGAGCATGTGGCTTGGCTCCACCATAATCAACAAAAAGCTATTAGATTGTGTATCCTTTTTGTTATCCATCTTCCACGACCTTATCCAACTCGTAACTTCAAATTAGTTGAAGAAAATTAGAGGACCTACTAGTGCTCAGTCATTTCAGTTAGCACTCTCTTATGTTTCTGTAAGTTTTGTCGAAACCTTGGTATATGATGATTCATTAATTGCTGCTGGGGCTTAGGAACCATTGCTAAAGGCGCCGCTTTATTGCACGAGGAAGGTGCGCAAGAAGTCTATGCCTGCAGTACTCACGCCGTTTTCAGGCAAGCATCATTTATTATATTCGACATTTTCATTTTTTCGCGAGTATCTCTCTGTTTTCCCTATTTTCATCCCTTTGTTTTTTCCACTTTTTAAATGTCTTCAAATCACATTTCATGTGGATCCTCAAACAGTTGTGTCCTTACATATATCAAGCTTATTGTTCTAGCGTAATTATAGATTGCCATTTCCTAAAAGTTCTCATATTTGGGTATAAGAAGATCGTATCTACTCTTTTTCATTTTAAGTCGTCGTCATCGTGGCAATGTGTGTTGTTATGAGAACCAATGTAGGTTGAAAAGTTAATTTGTGGCTATGTTTCATTATATCGAAAACATACTCATATATATATATATATATATAGGGAAAATTGCAAACAATATCCCCATGCATACCCCATTATCACTTTTGTCTTGTATTTATTTTGCTGACAAAATATATCTCATATGTTTGCAAAAGTTGCTATTTTTATCATTTGGCCGCGTGTAGTGTGAACGTCACGCGCGGCTAAATAATAGAAATAACGACTTTTGCAAATATGTAGGATATATCCTACATGTTTGCAAAAGTTGCTATTTTAATGGGGTATACATGAAGGATATTTTTTTGCAATTTTCTCTCTCTCTCTCTATATATATACGGGACAAATCAGTACACAATCAGCACATGAAAAACTCACAAACATATGTATTTTGAAAGCATGTGTTCTTTGTTCATATTTATACGATGTGCTCTATATTGTGTAGATTATTGTCATGTATTGTTATTTTATATGTTGTATTTGTATTTGTATTATATTAACATAAATTGTGTATCGTCTATCTATACGGTTGTCTATCATAATATGATGTATTGTCAGGACATTAACTGCAGCCTAGATGTACATATATATATATATATATTTTTCGGAAAACTAATTCTTGAATTAAATATACGGATATGTTTACTCGCTCTCACGGTGATAAGTAAAAGAACACACTCAAAATATTTTTAACGGGTGTCTTTTCTTACAGCCCCCCTGCAATTGAGAGGTTATCTAGTGGCCTTTTCCAAGAGGTCATCGTAACAAATACTATTCCGATACCGGAGAACAACTATTTCCCTCAGCTGACAATTCTATCGGTCGCAAACCTCTTGGGTGAAACCATATGGCGAGTTCATGACGATTGTTCGGTAAGTAGTATTTTCCAGTGATGATCGATCAATGTGGTATGATAGTTTAATTTATTCAGCTGATACAAGAGCTAAAGTAGATTAAAAAATGTTCGTTGTTGTCGCCAATTCATATACTCTTTTTTACACCCTGTGTTCTTCAGTTTTTACTGCGCCTGCCCTCACCAACACCGTAGGTATCGACGTTTTTTTTTTTTACCTTGTTGCTCGTTGGTATATGATGAAATCTACTAATAAAATATATGATTGGTTTTAGTTATAGTTTGAATAAGAAATTACATGCACGGAGATGGTTAGAGTGTTGAGTAGCCTTTAATCATTAGATAAATAATTATTTTTCACTATATAATTTGAATTAAATCAGCATGTGCTGTGTGGATTATTACTGCGTATTGTTAATTTATATTTATATTATGTGTAATTGTGTTAAAAATCAAATTGTAGTACGTGTATTGTAAATTATTACCATGTATTATTTAGTTCATATTTATATTTGTATTTGTATTAAGTTGTTAATTGTGTTATTGTAAATTTATATCTCATGCACGCAAGCAATCTACCCCAAATATCTACTTTCACTAATATGCATGTAACTTATTTAACTTTAGTTATGTACATATATAGGTGTGTTTACTTGTAATATTTTGGTTTTGAGTTTTGATTTTGAATAGTAAAATTTTGAATTGAAATAGTTGTTTGATGTGATATAAATATGTATTGATGTAATATTTTGAATGTAAAATTAAATTTTAGTGTAATAAAATAAATAAAAATTGAGTGTTTGATTTTATGCTTTTGGAGTAAAAAGAAATTTGAAACGGTAAAATCTTACAAGTAAAAAGACTCGTATAACTTTGTTTATTCTGATATAAATTTTTATTATTTGATTTATTTATTTTGGTCAAATAGAATGTTGAATACCTTTACCACAATACTCCATAAACAGATAGTAACATAAATGAAAGGGAAAAAGACTCTTTTTATTTTTATTTTTTAATGTCATCCTTTATTATTTTAAAATTATATCTAAATCATACTTTCTCTGGTTCATAAATATAGTTTTAATTGGATTTGGTACATGATTTAAGGAATATTGATATTATATTAGTAGTTGATAAAAAAAATATGAATAAAATTTTTTTTTTGCCCCCGTGAGTGTATTAATTTAAAAAGTAGTGACAATTATGTAATAAAAATAAAAAAATAGAAGTAATTTTACGGTGATATAGACTATTGTTTTGACACAGATTAAAATGGTAAACAAAACTATTGTATTGGGACGAAGAGAATATATTATACTTGTCCTATAATTCTAAGATGCTGGAGTTTTTTTTGGCACAGTGGAGAATGCGTGGATGATATATTGATATCTACTTGAAGATTATTTTAATATTATAATTAAATTTTATATTGAATTACTATTATAATTAAAAGAATGGCAAAATTTATTATAATTAAAAGAATGGCAAAATTTATCCACCCAAAATCTTTGATATGACCCTGCCACATCAGCAATTTCGGTGACAGAATGTGTTTTCTTTACTAGAAAAACACAATTTTGTTTGTCTGGGGTTTGAATTTTGAATTGGGATTTGAATAGTAAAAATTTTGAATTTGAATAGTTATATGATGTGATGTTTTGAATGTAAAATTGATTTTTAGTATAATATAAAAATTGAAAAATAGGTGTTTGATTTGATATTTTTTGGGGAGAAAAAATTGGATGAATAGTGTAAATCCAATCCAATTTTCCAAACAAACACACCCTTAAATAAAAATGTAGAATTATAACAAATTGAGACCGAACTAGAAATAAGTAATAATTTAAGGAGCAAGTTGATATTATTCCTAAATAAATAAAAGCGCATGTTTGGTATTTCACGCTTTCTCAGTAATATCGGTGGTATTACTTTTAGGTTTAGACATTGTCACGAATTCGTCTACTCTGTCAGTCAGTTCGTCTACCTGCACATACAATACAGATCATTCAAAAGAATTTACAAAAAGAATTAATAATATTTTATAAAAATAAATAATATATTCTTTTATAAAAATTATGAAAAATAAACACTAGAAAAGATCAAAATATAAATACGCTTTTGATATTTAATTATTAAATTTTACAATTCTCTGTCAAAATATATTATTTAGCCTAAGTCACGTCCATATTTTCTTTCCTATAATTCTTAACTAGTCAAATTATATTGTCATTACATAAATTATTATATAACCATTATTTTTTCCAAACACTCATTATTATAAGTAAATGGCAAAATAAATATAAAAATTTAGCTTAGATGCATGAAATATTTTCTTAAGTACATTTTATTGTATAATTTCACTAGTGTTAGCAGAAAAATGCACATAATGATTCTATACTAATGAAAATTTATATGCAAATATAGAAATTTTATAAAAGCATGCTCTCTCGACCCAATACATGTTTACTATTTTTGTCCGTTCCAAAACAATGGTCTCATTTCCATAAATAATCATATCACTATAAAACTACTCTTACTTTTTCATTATTATTACACAATTGCCACTACTTTTTACACTAATATACTCACAAGGGTAAAAAAGTTTTTTACTCGTACTTTTTACCCACTACTAATATAATATCAATATGCCTGAAATCTCGTGCCAAACACAACCAAGACTATAATTTTGGGACAAAGTGAGTACTATATTGTGCTGATCCAGCCAAGTCAGCATGGTATTAATTTGATCGAATCAACACATATCATATGAGTATTATATCTTATAATACAACATATATTGTGTTATAAGATAACATATGATGTATTATAAATATGTTTTAAAACTATATACTTGTCGCCAATATGACATATGATAATCCGGTCAAATCAACACTATGCTAACTTGACCGAATTAATAACTTAATCCATGCCCATATTTTATATATTTAAATTTAAATTTAAACTATATGTTATGAAAATATAATTATCTATCTTAATCATTATTTTAAATGTATACCTTTTCCATGAGATCTTCGACTTTCTCGGCTCCCTCGTGTGTTTTCTCGGCGAATTCCTCGACAATGCCGACCATTTTCTTAAGCCCTCCCTCCGGAAGCGATTCCGATAAGTCCTCCGCTACCTCATCCACATGCTCCGCCACTTTTCCCACAGCGTCGGCTATTTTCTCCACCGCGCCCGCCGCCATATCAATTTGCTCTATTATTATCATTAAAATCAATAAATTTTCAAGAAAATATTTTTTTCTTTTGTATATATATTTACTATTTAATTTTTATTATTTTTAAAGTATTTAATACCCTCTCCTTTCCGATTCAAAGTATTCTTTTTATCATTTTAGTTGTTCCATTTCAAAGTATCTATTTAATCATGCATTAATACCAAAATATTCTTTAATTTTTATTTAAATTACAAACATACCATTACATATTCAATCACTTTATACCAAAAATTAAAGAGTAAAAATGTCAAAATTTCTTACACATCGTCCACTGACCAATAAAATACTATTATTTCTTAATCTACTATAAAAATCCGCCCCTTTTGTTTTAAAACGGACGGAGGGAGTAATTATTTTCCTTTTTAAAATATAAGAACTAAAAATAGAAATATACTAGCTAAATATTTCGAAAATAACCTATAGTGATTTAATATTTGAGAAATATTGTATTTATTATATTTTGTTGATTTATTCATTAGTAAAAATAAATTATAGAGTTCTTTTTAGTATTTATGGTTGTGGGTGTTTCGAATTTCTCCAAAATTTTTACTATTCATTATTTTTTTAATTAAAAGTATTAAATTGAATAGTTTCTTTTGTATTATATTAAAATAAATTTTACATTCAAATCATCCCATCGAGAATTATTTATATCATATTAAATAATTGTTCAAATTTTAAAAAGTTACTTTTTAAATTCAAACTACCAATCAAATCTACCCTAAATTTTTAGATTTTTTATTATTAGTTATTTTAAAATGTAAAAATATTACAAAAAATTGGGATAGTCGTATGAAATAATAATAATGTGCTTTTTAAAAAATAAAATAAAATTATTGTAAACATTAAAAGGAAGAATTACTTGTTAGAGTCAATAGTCTTTGAATCAAGAGTGGCACTGCTACAGCCAATCCTGCTATGCCAGCTATCCTGTAAAATTAAATTAAATTAAATAAGGGCTTGTTTTACCTTGTGTTAAAATAAATTCTTCGGTTTTTTTTTTTTTTAAATAAAATTATATATTATTTTATATTTAAAATATGAAATTGAAAATACATTTTATATTAAAAAATACAAACATAAAGCGTTAGTTTTTTTTTTTTTAATGAAATGGGAACCCGCAGTCGAAAATGCGCATTGGGTAAACCCCCGACCGAACCTAATACCCTGCAAATCAGATCCAACAGAAAAGTCACACTAGGCGAACTATGTGTGGCAAGTGGACCTGAAGCGTCGTAATATTGAATATAATTGACTTAGATTTGAAATGATAAAAGAACAGATAAAATAGTTTTAAAGAAAAAATATTTGTTTTTGCTCCCATTATAAATTACAATAATTAATTACTGTTTCATTGAAAAATTTTAATTACATTTAAATTAAAATTAATCAATTTTACTCTTATTAAACGGGTTTAATACGGTCATATTAGATGACTCAAAAAGCTGTCTAAACTTTATAGACGGTCAACACGGTCATGTTCATAGCTTGTTCACAGTTCTGAGTTCAAATTATTTTTTATGTTTATAATTTAATTAAAATATTTATAATTCAAAATAATTTTTAAAAAAAACAACATAATTTTAATATTTTAAAATATAATTGCGAAATAACAATAATAATAAATCAATATATATTTTTAATAATCGTAATTATATATTTCTTTCGTTACAACTCAATGTATTTTTTTTTATCATTTTTGTTACTATTACTCAAAAATATTTTTTTCTTATTTTAATAAAAATAATCCATATACAAATGTCAAAATACTCAAAAATATTTATTTCCTTCAACTTATTTTAATACTACAAAATTTCAATATTAATAATGATTTGTTCACATTGTCTTATTGAATAAATACGTTTCTACAATAGATATGAAAATTAGTGTTAGTAATATAAAAATAATATTTTATATTAAATTATTATTTCTTATAAATAAATAACATATATATTGTAATTATATATATAATATTAATATGTGTTTATTTTTATTTTTTGTAATATTTATAAAAAAATATGCTAAAAAATATTTGGTGAAAAAATACATTAGGGTGTGTTTCTTTGAGGGATTTTGCCAAAAATTTACTGTTCATATCAAACATCAATTTTTTATTTCTTATATTATTCTAAAAATTAATTTTACATTCAAAATATCACATCAATACCTATTTATATCACATCATACAACTATTCAAATTTAAAATTTTTACTATTTAAAAATCGCAATTCAAAATCCAAACGTCCAAACAAACACACCCCCGACATTTAATAATAATAATAATAATAATACCTCCGTCCCGGAAGAATAACATTTTCTTTTTGCACTTAGATTTTGAAATATTAGTATTATATTGGTTTACAGTAAAAAAAAATAAAAATACATTTATTAATTTGTGTAATACAAAATAATAACATTTGTATAATATATTAGAAGTTGTAATGATATTAATTATGCTATGTATGTAGTACAATTACTAAATTAAGAAATAATATCGGACAGAAATTGATATCCTTCTTATGGGACGGAGGAAGTAATAATAATCATAAGTTTGCAATTAAGTAGAATATTATATATATATAATTTATATATAACTAATCACATTTATATTTTGCATCATTATACTTAACATTAAAAATATCTTTATAATTTTTTATACAAATATCCTTTTGCAATTTTTTTTTAATTTATACTATGTTTTATATAATAATTAATATTTAAATATTAACATGAAAAAAAAAAAAAAAAATTGTTGTTTTTCATTTTAAATCAAAATGATTAGGCGTTCAAATTTTCATATCCAATTATTATTTAAATTAAAAAACTAATTCAAATTTCAAATACTTTTCACCTACCTCCATAAACACGAATTTAAGAACCAACTCGAGTGGGGGTAAAACGCGACATGTAAAAACGCATTCGAGTAAAAAACACGACTTACCAGGGGTTGTCAGAGAGTGAAAAACCGCCGGGCAACGGCAGCGAGAAGGAGGCCAGCAGATCTCCGGCAGCTCCAACCGCTTCTGGACTTCCATCGCTGATTCTCACAACGAATTTCCTGCCAGATCGCCAACAAATAACAAATAATCAGTCGATTAACAAAAACGAGGAGATGTATAAAATTAATAGGAACTTTACCTTCTCGGAGGCTTATTTAGTGCAGATTTGGATTTGATTTGCTGCGGAGGAGATAAGATTGAGGTCGTAGGATGAAGAGAGAGCGAGAGCGAGAGCGATCGGAATTTAGTTGAAGATGGAAGGGTAGGGAAGGCGTGGAGAAGAAACTCCGTTGAGGAAGCCATGGATTAATGTATTATAACTGCTTGATATGAACTTGAGTTCGATTGATGGCGTGTGAGATCGGATCGGATCTGATCAATTAATTAATATATACTCCCTCTCCCTCCAACTTTCAACAATCTATTCATTTTTCTATTTTGATATGTCTATATTATACAAATATCATTCATACAATACTAAAAGAAATAATTTAACTTTTTTTACCTCAATTTTTATTTTATCCCAATATAATATTAATATTTCTAAAACTCCGTACAAAAGGCAAATGTATGCATAAATATGGAATGAAGAAAATATTTTATAAGCTAAATATGAAGGATACTACTACTACTATATGCCATGCATATTTTTAATACTATATTTTATTTAAGGGTAAATTAATTTTTTTTATCCAATACATTTTTATCATGGTAAATAGAGTATGTTGCAAATTAATTTTTATGTGAAATTTTATATACTTTTAGTCCTTCTATATCGGAGATGTCTAGGTGACACTTCGCGTGGTTTGAACATCCGACAAATATGTGAATTTTTTTTAAATTTTAAATTTTAAATTAATTGATTTATTATTTTGTAAAAATTAAAAAATTTCAAAAAAAATATTGAAAATTAAAAATTAAAAAAATCACGTCTCCACCAAATTAGCAACACTTAGCGGACACGTATCCTCCAACAAGCCACATGAGTACCGTATAGGCATCTCCAGCACAAGATAAATAAATTGCCAAATTTTTTATTTACGGAATTAATTTGCGATAAAATTCAGATATGAGACTAAACTGATAAAGATGTTAACTAAAAAAATCGATTTACCATATATTTTATTTTGTATATTACGATAATAAAATAAAATAAAATAAATACATTAGACAAATTCTTTAGATAATTTATATTGCTGCTAGCATGCTCATGATAAAAAAAAAAAAAAAAAAAAAAAAAAAAAAAAAAAAAAATTCACCAGAGCCTCCGGAGAATAATATGTTGAGAGAGTGGTGAGAGCAGCCATATATATTTAACGATGAACAGCTCATATTAAACCCCTAGAATGAACGACTGAGATTTAACCTGGAGAGACTGGGTCACAAACAGGTTGGGTCAGCACCGGGTATGGATCACGGGTCGCTGCTCACACGGTAAGACGGTGATATGGATGCGGGTCAGGCGGATCGGATCTATGGGCCAAAATACAACAAATTCAATAATTGATTTTAATCGATGGTATTTTAGATATTTAAAAAATAATAATAATTCAATGATTTCTAATTAAGAAAAATCAATTGTGTTAACTATTTTAATTATATATGATAATAATTTTACTGAATGATAGATTTATGTAATTAAAGAATATTTAATAATATATTTGATTTTTTTTTGTTTAATTAAAAAGATTAAAAAATTTAAATGATAAACAAAATTAAGAAAATATTATACCTTTTTTTTTTATCTATCTTTTTTTTTTTTTTCCATTAACATATAGTATTTGATATTGATTTTAAAAATATATATTTCTGAATTAAAAAATTTGTAAATGCTTTTACCAATATTTTTCCATATTTATTAAAGTGTGTTCTATTTAAGCCTAGGCCCACCTAAATAGGTTGGGCTTGCATTGAAACCTTAAACTATATTATTGGGTTTGATCTAAAAATAAATTTATGTTTAATTCTTTTATTCCAATTGGTTAGATCTAAGGGTGTGTTTTTTTAATTTGGATTTTAATACGAGAGAGTTTTGAATAGTAAAATTTTTGAATTAAAATAATTGTATAATTCGATATAAATAGATGACTGCAAGACCCATCCGTCGAGCAGGGACAAAAGTCGGCCTTAGTGATCTGGTGCCGAGTGGAAGGGTCATCGCTCAACGGATCAAAGTTACTCTATGATAGAGCTGTAAAACAAACGAACAGTTCGCGAGCTCGGCTCAGTTCGGTTTGTTTGAGCTCGCTAAGAGCTCGTTCGTTAAGCTAAACGAGCCGAACACGAATATAAATTTTGGTTCGTTATGTTCACGAACGAACTCGAGCTTGTTCGCGAACAGTATTTATTAAAAAAATTAAATTAATAATTTTATATTTAATAAGTATATATATTTATAAATATTATATTTTATTCATTTTTTATTCAAATTTGATAATAAAAATTATAATTATTATTAACTAAATTTAAAATTTTAAAAGAAATTAAATAAATAAAATAAAATTTCTCTTAATGAGCCGAACACGTACAAAAAAATTATTAAACAAGCCAAGTTCAAACAAAAATTTCACCTCGTATATCTTAACGAACGAACACGAGCCGAGCTCAAACATGACAAGTTCGGCTCTGTTCGACTCGTTTACAGCTCTACTCTAGGGATATCAGGCTGATCTTCTTCAAGAGCTCTTATTGACGGAGTCGTTTGGCACCTCGATGACGTTGATGTTATATTTTGAATATAAAATTAATTTTTAGTATAATATAAAAAATAAGTATTTAATTTGATATTTTTAAAAATAAAAAATAAAACATTAAGAAACAGTAGAAATTTAAGAAATCTGCCAAACAAAAACACCTTAAAGGCATTAATTTTGAAGGAAGTGGGCCCAAACAAATAAACACAACCCAGACCACAGGCCCTTGGCTTATCCTATAAATCAAATTTTGATTTTTTATTTTTATATTATATACGAAGAATCGTATTATTTTTTTTGGGAAAAAATTATTTTTAGTTTCAATATAATCAAAATTCATCAATTTTGGTCCAAATATAAAAATCTTATCAATTTTGGTTCCAATATAACCAAAACTTATCAATTTTTTGTCCAAATATAAATTTTTCTATCAATTTTAGTCTCAATATAACAAAAACTCATCGGTCCAAATATAATCAAACATTATCTTTTTTAGTCCAACCGTCAACAAACCGACGAAAAATGCTGAAGTGAAAAGAAATCAAACCTTATATTTATATTTAAAGAAATTGCACAATCTTGCAAGTCTACATCAGCATTTTCCGTCGGTTTGTTGACGGTGAGACAAAAAAAGATAAGGTTTGATTATAGTGGGACAAAAAATAATGAATTTTGTTTATATTGGGACTAAAATTGATTAAAAAAAATTATATTGAGACCAAGAATGATGAGATTTGATTATATTAAAACCAAAATTGATAAATTTTGATTATATTGAGACAAAAATTAATTTTTTCCCTTTTTTTTTTTACTCCATAAATATTATATATATATATATATCCAAATCAAGAATAATTAGAGTGTTAACACATATAACACATGATTTCAATCGACATAACTTGTTTTATTAACATATCTCTTGTGTAAAAATAAATGATAATATATATTTGATAACCTATTGTTAGTTGAAATGTTATATTCAAATTATATTAGCACATGCATTTAGTGTTAATTTATATTTCATATAAGGTAAATGAATATCGTTTGTTTGGGGTTTGAATTTTGAGTTGGGATTTGAATAGTAAAAATTTTGAATTTGAATAGTTGTATGATGTGATATAAATAGGTGTTGACGTGATATTTTGCATGTAAAATTGATTTTTAGTATAATATAAAAAATGAAAAATAGATGTTTGATTTGATGTTTTTTAGAGAAAAAAATAGGATGAATAGTAAAATTTTGCAGACATCTTACAAACGAACACGTACTTAAAATCAATTAGGGTGTCTTTGTATGTAGTTAGGATGTTGAGCAATAAAAAATTAAATTTAAATAATAATTTGATTTAATATAATATTTTGAAAATAAAATTATATTTTAGTACAAAAGATACCAAAAAATAATATATATATATACTTTATCTATTCTAACTTAATTTTTTTTTTTTTTTTTTTTTACAATTTTTGTTCATCCCACTCCAAAGTATTCATTTTCTATTTTAATAAATATAATCATACCCAAATATCAAAATATCATTAAATTTTATCTAAATTACAAATATATCATTACAAATCAATTATTTTTTACATAAGGTCAAATGACAAAAATATCAAAACATCTTACATACTTCCACTAACTAATATTTCTCACTTAATTTGTCAACTTTTTCTATTTTTATCTGTTTCACATAATTTGTCATTTAATTTTTTGGAATATAATAATACACTTTAATCACATTTTAAAATTCATAATTTATAATTTTTTTATTTTAAATAAATTTTTAGTCATTTTAATTTTAATTTATAATTATTTTTATTAAATTATAATGATTTTCACCAATACACTTTTTAATTACTTACTAATTACACAATATCTAAAAATTTGTGCCTAAGCTAAATGAGAGAAATTAGCTAGGACGGGGAGTAAAACACTACTACCTCCGTCTTGTTCTAAGGGTCTCATTAATTTTTTGTTTGTTGATATTTTAATATTAATTATTATATCAAAACGTAGTACAAATTAAGAAAAAATTGCAAAGATACTTCAATTAGTGTCTTGTAATACTAATAGAAGGACATTTGCATAAAAAAAATTATACAAATATAAAGATATTTTTAATATTACGTATAATAACGCAAAACGCAAAACACAAATGCGACATTTGAAAGGGGACAGAGAGAATATTATTTTTTAATCTATTACAAAACTCCAAATGACCCATTTGGACCGAAACACAGGGAATATAAAGGTGTGTTTCTCTAGCCTAGTTTTTGACGACAAGCCTGACAGGCTGTCTGTTTCCTTGCTTTTTTTAAAAAAAAATGTAAATATATAAAATATTATAATAATTATAATTCAATAAGATATATATAATATATATTATTTTGTTGAGAATAAATTTTTTATAATACAAATAAATAAAATTTAGAAAATATATATGCAAATATAATATAAATTTATAATTAAATTATACAAATTAATACATATTTATATTATTCTATTAATTATCATCAAATTAATACACATCAAAATTTTTCAAACTCAACTAAAACTTAAATACAAAAGAAATATATAAATTCATACTCACATCAAAATTCCGATAAAAACAAAACAAAAACTCAAATTTTCCCAAAGCCAGATAAAGAAAAACACCCTAGGCTTACTTTTGTGTTAAAAAAAAAAAA